AGGATCAGACATGGAGGAGGATTTAAGCTTTTTTCAGCCCCATCAGAGGTGGAGACCTTCCTGACCTCTGTTCAGGACGAAGGATAGATCATAACAGGCACCATGACTATTAACGGTAAAACAACATTACATAAAAAAAACCATAATTTCTGACTTTCCTTCAAATGTTAATCCATCTCATGTAGCAGTGGATGCACCTCGGCCTATTAAATTATAGGTGAGTTAAGTAGATTTTGTTAAATATAGTTAATTTTGGTTCCTGAGCGTTTTTCTTCTGGAGCAATCATGTTCTTTTTTGGAAAAATTGTTTTCTGCCGAAGATACTACAAATGTATAGAAGCGGAGTTTATCCCACTCTTTGTTTTTGTTTTTTTTTTTTGGTTAATGGGGGTTAAAGTGTGGGTTTTCTCTTTTTATTCTTTCTTTTGGGGTTTAGGGGACACTCTCTCTATGGCGTTTACCACGTTAATGTTGAAAACTGTAAGTTCATGGTAAAAGATCAGAGATCTCTTTATTTTGTCCAAGTTATGTACATCCCATGTTACCTATTCAGAATATTTTCTTTATATTACTTAAAATGAATAAGACAGGACTACTAAATTGTGTTCGTTAAATGTTAGAGGGATTAACAATCCTATTAAAAGGAAGAAAGTCCTAACATACTTTAAGAAACTAAGCACAGACGTCGCCTTTATCCAAGAGACCCATCTTACTGATATAGAACATTTAAAGTTGCGCAGGGATTGGGTTGGTCAGGTATTTTATTCCTCTTTTTCATCTAAAGCTAGAGGTGTAGCCTTACTTATCAATAAAAATCTCAGATTTCGATTAAATCATATGGATAATGACAGATCTGGCAGATTAATTTTAGTAGATTGTGTCATAAATACAAATAGGGTAATACTTGTATCCTTATGTGGCCCAAACTTTGACAATCCAGAATTTTTAACGATTTAATTCTAAAACTGGCAGCGATTGAAGCGCCATGTATTCTGGGCGGGGACTATAACCTGGTTCTAAATCCATCAATGGATCGCTCCTCTCCTAAACGTGTTACACTATCCAGATCTGCGGTGGTTCTGACCCAGGGCATGAAAGAATTAGGATTGGGGACGTATGGCGCTTACATAATCCTACCGGTAAAGATTATTCATACTATTCCAACGTCCACAACACTTATTCAAGAATTGACATGTTTTTGATCTCACACCCACTTTTGTCACAAATTAAATCCTGTTCTTACTTAGCTGCTACGATTTCAGACCATAATCCCATACAAATGAAGCTAGAACTACACCAACCAGTTTTCTCTTCTCCTAGATGGAGATTTAGAGAATATCTTCTTAGAGACCCTGAATTTGTCACTTTTATGAATACCAGAATTGATATATATTTGGAAGTAAATTTAAATACCTCCTCACATTCAAATATGGGAAGCGCTCAAGGCTTATATGAGAGGGCACATTATTTCATATGTCTCATATAAAAACAAACAAAAAGGGAGCAGCTTTCTCAATTAGAAAAAGATATAAGGAGTTTGGAGATTGATCATTCAAGAACAAAGCGCCCAGAATTACTTAATGTTTTAAAACAAACGGATTTTATATGACAACCTGTGTACAAGTAAAGCTGAGGCAGCAATGGCTAGAACAAGATATCATTACTACGAATTCGGCAATAAGACAAGCAAACTCCTGGCGTGGCAAATAAAAAAGGATAGTGAAAGATATATTCAGAGTATTAACACAGATGATGGTAGACATTTAGAAAATACAAAAGACATTAATTTGGAATTTAAAAAATATTACCAATTGTTATATAAACCTGAGCTTCACAAAGACAGTGTAGATATAAAACAATTTTTGAATCATTTACATTTACCCCAGATTAATACAGCTGACAAAGACATACTAGATGGTGAAGTAAGTGAGGAGGAAGTTCACCTTGCTGTTAAATCATTACAAAATAATAAAGCCCCAGGACCAGACGGCTTTCCAATTGAATTTTTTAAAACCTTTTCAAACAAATTATTAACTCCCCTTACAAATATGATCAAGGAGCATTCCAAAAGACAACACTTCCTCAATCGTTAGAACTTGCAACAATAACATTACTTCCCAAACCTGGAAAAGACGTACAAAAGTGCAGCAACTATAGACCTCTGAGCCTTCTCAATTCTGACTATAAAATCTTGTCTAAAATAATAGCGTCTCGACTGGAGAAAATAATCCCAAAAATTATCCATGCAGATCAAACAGGTTTTGTTAAGAATCGACAGGAGCAGACAATATCCGGAGGTTACTTCATGTTATTGATATCACTAAAAGACAGAGACACCCCCTGGTGATTCTCTCTATGGGAGCTGAGAAGGCGTTCGACAGAATTGAACCTGATTTTCTTCTTGAGACCATGAGAACCATGAATTTTGGTGAAACCTTTATTGGATACGTGAGAACACTCTTTAATGGCCCTAGATCACAGATTCTGACTAATGGGGTTCTGTCGGACGCCTTCTCGCTCTTTCGCGGCTGTAGACAGGGCTGCCCAAGCTCTCCTAGCTTGTTTTCTATTGCTATAGAACCATTAGCGATAGCTATCCGATCTGATTTATCTATTACAGGTATAAAAATAGGTACAGAAGAACATAAAATTGCACTATATGCGGATGATTTGTTAGTATTTATATCTCAACCGTCTAAATCCTTACCATCTTTACTGACATGCCTGGAGACATACAGTGCAGTTTCCGGTTACAAAATCAATTACTCCAAGAGTGAAGCGTTTTCCACTTAATATGACAGAACAGGAGACACAACTACTGCCTGGCTCATTTAAATGGAGTATGGATGGTTTTACATACCTTGGCATTAATATTAGTTCTTCGCATGACCAAATTTACAGAAGGAATTACATCTCATTATTTAATAAAACCAAAGCAGAACTGGAACGATGGATAGATCTCCCATTATCCTTGATTGGTAGAGTTAACTCAATTAAAATGTCTATATTACCTAAATTTATTCATTTATTCCAATGTATCCCCCTAAAAGTCCCAATGACATTTTTCAAAGATTTGGATAAAGCAATATCTCTATTTTTATGTCAAAAGAAGGTCCCAAGAGTTAAGCTTCTTACTTTACAAGCTCCCTAAGCTAAAGGAGGATTAAATCTTCCAAATTTTAGAGTGTATTATCTGGCTTCCCAGTTCCGTACTCTATGGATGTGGACCCATTCAAATGGTAACAATGTAAGGTGGGTCTCAATAGAACAACAAGAATTGAAATCCAGATCATTGTCAATCATCCCTTTCTTGAGCTCAAAAAAGCAACTGTCTACAATTACATCAAATCCTTTAATCTTAGCTACCCACAATGCATGGTTACAGCTACATACCTTCTTGCACCTAAACATACAATTACTGGTTAACACTCCACTTAAAGATAACCCCAGCATTCCCCAACCTATAGCGGATGGTATATTACAAACATGGGTCAGAAAAGGCATTAGATCAGTCGGTGATCTTTATACCAATAATGTCTTTGCCAGCTTCGATCAATTATCTGAATCCTATGACTTGCATAGACACAGTTTATTCAAATATTTGCAGATCAGACACTGGATTAAGAGTCAATCATTAGAAATATTTCCAGATAAACCAGAGGAAACTCTGCTTGAATCATGTTTACTGGATCCAAAACGTATTACTACAAAAGGGCTTATTTCTTGTCTTTATAGAATGGTTCTTGCCTCATCACCAACTTATAACAAGTACTCGACAAATCGAAATGGGAATCTGACTTAAACTGCAACTATGATGATAAAAACTGGAGCGAATTACTAAACTCATCTCAAACAGTATTAATATCAACAAAACACAGGCAAATTCAATTTAACATTTTACATCGTACATATTATACTCCATATAGGTTGAATAAACTGAATGCCAATATCACTAACAGATGTCATAGGTGTAAGACGTCTGTAGGCGATCTTCTTCATATGCTCTGGAATTGTGTACACTTGCAAACCTACTGGAATAATGTAATACTGATAACATCAACAGTTTGTGGGCTTCCTCTAGATCCTGACCCAGGATTTGGATACTTGGAGATATTAGTCCTTGAAATTGAATTTTTGCAAGAAATACTTTGTTTTGTTAACGTCATCCGCAGCAAAAAATGTATACTTAAAAATTGGAAAAACTATGGAGCCTCCAAACAAGAAGCATTGGATCAACGAACTGTTTGTCATACTGCACTCCTGAAAACATTCTCCACTCCATACGTGGGACATTGGCGAAGTTTGACCAGATATGGACTCCCTTCCTGGACATCCTAACTAGATTGGACCTGAGAGACTGATCTGTATTGATTTTTACTGTCTTGTTTCGATCTTTCTAATATTTTTGTTGTATTCTTTTCTTTTAACTCTGGCCTTTCAAAAAATGAGTAGTGCCAAATGTAATACTGCTATATGTGTTGCTGCATGGAGAGAGTGGGGGGGGTGGAGGTGGGGGGTTTATTTAAAGATAAGAAAAAATGTTGTACATTAGATGTGGATTTTGTTGGATATGCATCCTGAATAAATATATATATACAAAAAAAAAGATTCTCCAGGAAATATTAATTGATTCATTTCAAACTGAAAATATAATTTAATCTGAATTGTTTTCCTGATCTGGAAGGCCGACAGGAAGTAGAGGAGCATCACTTCCTGTTCAGGATGTCAGTGAAACTGGAGCCATGTTTAAAGACTGGTGGAGTTTTTCTGTCTCAGTATTAATGTTATATTAATATTAATTATTAATATTAATTATTCATATTAATCTCCAGTTTCGCTGAATGTTTGTGACGAATTAAAATGTTTATTTTAAATTCATAATAAATAACTCAGAAAGTTTCTTTAATAATCTAATAAAACTCATCCAGTTTCTGTTTTTGATAACAAACAGAAAAATATTTTATTTTTCAGGTTTTAATTTAGTTTTGTCTGTAAACCAGATGGCCGCCGTCTCTGCTCTGGTGGGCCTCCTGCTCCTGGTTTCCGTGGAAACGGGGCCTTCACCTCTGAACCAGCAGCAGCAGGTGAGTCCTACATCCTGTGTCCTACATCCTGTGTCCTACATCCTGTCTCCTTAATCCTGTGTCTTTCATCCTGTCTCCTTCATCCTGTCTCCTTCATCCTGTCTCCTACATCCTGTCTCCTACATCCTGTCTCCTACATCCTGTCTCCTTCATCCTGTCTCCATCTTGTCTCTGCCAGCCGATTGGTCGGTCAGGTCATGTGACTGACGTTACTTGTGTGTCCAGGTTTCTCTCTCTGTTCGGCTCTCGCCTCGCCTCCCTCATCGAGGCCACGCCCCCGCCTGATGACATCACAGATGGCTCCGCCTCCTCGCCGCTGCTGCTGAGTCGCCACGGTAACGTGAGCGGATCAGCCAGCAGACAGGAAGTGGTTCCCCGCCTCTTCCTGGACTTCCTGCGGCGGCGGGCGAAGACGAGGAGGCGAGCCACACGGCGGGAGGAAGAGGATGCTTCGGGATGAAGCTGGACCGCATCGGCTCCATCAGCGGCCTGGGCTGCTAGAGACGGTCACCGTGGAAACGCCGCTGCCGCTCACTGCTGAAAGACGACCCTGCATGACCTCTGACCTCCAGGCGGAGATTTCATGCTGGACGATACTAACCAGAGCTGGCTGAGCTCAGGACGATGCTAACGCGAATGACCTTTGACCCGCCGGCTGCCTGCAGCCAGCAGAGACGTGTGTGTGACCTGCAGGTGTGTGTAGGTGTGTGTAGGTGTGTGTAGGTGTGTGTAGGTGTGTGTAGGTGTGTGTGTGACGAAGTATTAAACTGAACCTGATCTCTGCCTCATGATACCATCTGTTCAGTTCTGTTCGGTTCTGTTTGGTTCTGTTCGGTTCTGTTCTGTGACACCAGTCCCTCCTGCATTGAATCAGGCCCACAGCATCATGCTGCCACCACCACACTGCATGTCCAGGATGGTCATCATGTCCACCTGCTGTCAGGTTCTGGTTTGTGAGGAAATGAGATGAACGGATCTAGAAATGATTTCTGGTGGGAAGTGAATCCAGACTGACTGGTTAATCTCACAGTAATGATCTCATATGATTAAACTAATAAGAGTTTTTATCATCAGTCTCTGACATAAATGACAATAATTATAAATATCAGAGACGCTGGAAGGAGAAATTATATAGTTATACTTTATATCAATCTAATATTGGAAAAGTCACTAAATAACTAGTTATTAATAACACTGAATTAATTTCATGATTCATTCAGTCCAGAACCAGAACCAGTTTCTGGGTCACCTACTGAAAAAGCGATTCTAACCCAGACCTCTGAAAAGGTTCTGATCCAACTGTACAATCAGAACCATGATGCCTTCATGGTTCCGGGTGGTTTCAGGTGGATCCTGGTTCCGCCTGAAGGATCCAGAATGATTTGAGCTCAGTTTAGATTCATTCTGTCCCTCAGGGTGACTAGATTAGGTCCAAATGTGGGAAGGGTTTAATGACATGCGTTTATTTCATTCCGGTGAAATGGACGCAGTTCCTCTCCTGCCACCAGGGGGCAGAAGAGACCCTGCGGCGCGCCGACCAGGGTCACGTGACCGGGTCAGTTCCTGTGAGTTCAGTTAGCACCAGCTAACAGCTAGCGCCGATTCCTCGGAGGTTACCTACGGAGGGGAACCGGACCAGACAGAGCCGCCGTTCACCAGTCCCGCCCCACAGCCTCCAGCCTGCGCTGCTGTTCTCTCTGACCAGGCTCTGACCCGGTTCTGGCCCGGTTCCGACCCGCTCCTGCGAGGCTCCGGTAGTTACGGTGGAAGATGTCTGCGTTCAGCGGATGAAGGTGGCCAACGAGCGGCACAGCAAGACGATCACACGCGGGGACACGTCCAGAAAACCTCGGTGGTTCCGACAGGAGTAATGACTGCTATCATACTGGACCTGGCTGGGAATGGAGCGGAAACACGTCCATATATGGTGCGTGGCTCCGCTCGGCAGTCAGCGGGGTGACAGCAGGAAGTGACCAGACTCCTCACAACCTTTAGGACTTTAGATGCTTTTCCTCTTTAATCAGAACCAGAACCTGTAGAAAACATGGATTAAAACTGGTAATCTCAGTGGACCGGTCCCAGGTTCGGTTCGGCTTACAGTTCGGGGTTCTGCTCTTTGTCTATCGAAGCTAATTTAAACTTTAGATAACTGCAGCAGGTTGTAAACTGGATCCATGGAGCCACCGCCTCCTCCATGGTGGATCCCCAGGAAGTTTGTTGATGTTCCCGGTCAGGAAGTACAGATGTTCTGGCTCCAGTGGACCCGGTCAGGAGGTTCAAATGTTCTGGCTCCAGTGGACCCGGTCAGGAGGTTCAAATGTTCTGGGTCCAGTGGACCCGGTCAGGATTAGATGTTCTGGGTCCAGTGGACCCGGTCAGGAGAAATGGTTCTGAGAGAGCCCACAGCATCACTCCACCTCCATGTTCCTGATGACGGGTCGGGTTCACCTTCATCATGGTCCAGTTTGAGGCTCTGGTCCCGGTAATAAACTAAATCTGATTAGCTTGGATTAGCATGATGCTAATATTAGCATGATTAGCATGTGAATATTAATAGCAGCAGTTCCCCTCTGGGCTGTGGGGAGGATGCTAGCTTCGCTTGAGGCTTCTGATTCCATCAGCTGGTTTCTGGATGACAGGAAGTGAAGCTGCTGAGTTTTATGGCAGCATTAAAGCTGCAGGAGGACGTGAAAATAAACCATAGTATTGGTGATTATTGGTAATAGTGATGAACCCAACCCGGGCCCCGGGTTGGGTTCATCACCTGGAAACAAGTTGGGAACCGCCTGGATGTACTGACTATAGATTGTTCTCCTCTGGAAATGGTTCAGGCCATGTTCTGGACCCAGGTGGTACCAGGTGGACCCATGTGATACCAGGTGGAACCATGTGATACCAGGTGGACCCAGGTGGTACCAGGCCTCAGCAGGAAGTGGAGCGTTGAGGCTCTGCGGTTCTCATGCTGCCTGCTTTGCGTTGCAGAGGCCGGTGAACGAGGAAAAGTCTCCAGTGGGTCCCTGGCTGCTGGCGCTCTTCGTCTTCGTGGTTTGTGGATCAGGTGAGTTTCCTCTGCAGAACCGTGACCTTTGGTGACCCAGTGAGGTGGGTTAGCATGCTAGCATTGCTAATCAAGAAGCTCCGCCTGACCCGATTGGGCCGTCTGTCGGACCTGTAGACGCTGGCCGGTTCTGGTTCTGTTTAATCTGAGCTTGGACCAGGCGGGATGGGCCGGTTCTGGTGTTACTCCTCTGGTGGTCGGTCCAAACCCAACTGCAAAATATACATATGTAAAAATGAAGTTTGCGTCAAAGTTTGTGTAAATACAGAAAGACTTTGGTTGCAGCAGCAACAAACTTTATCTGTGAAGAATATCAAAGAGTCAAAAGTCACCAACATCCACTGAAACATGACAACATTCAGTTATTTAGACCAGGAAGCATCAAACCCGACAAGTTTCATGATTTTAATACTTTATTTTTGAAACGATGAAACTGAACCACATTTATCCTCAGTCAAGAAGCTAACGCTAAAGCTAACAGCTCCGTTGTAAATCATCCTGCTTCCCAGTTTTTGTCTCATAAAGATTTACTGGTCCATGAAATGACTCTATAGGGTTTGATTATGTTAAGGTGATCAGGTATAAACACCTGATCACCTTAACATGCTACTGATACACCTGAGATATTGATCGGCATCAAGGTGAGCCGATACCTGAGGATCTGTGGCTCTGATGGAGAACATGGAGCCATTGATCATATTGATCTGCTGGTGTATTGGCATTTACATGAATCCAGCAGAAACCATCAAAACCTCCCACTGCTTCCCTCTCAGGTTCTGGATTCGGTTCTGTATGCTTTAAAGTTCTGCAGAACTCCCAGGACCAGTTAGACCAGTAGAACCTCAGTCTACTGGGCCCGTTGCCCTGGTTATGACTAGTTATCTCCACTCAGGAGGCAGAAACCGCCGCAGTGAGGAGAAACAGGAAGTAACAAAATCTCACAGTCACTTATCTTCACACTGAGACAGGAAGTAGAACAGGAAGCTGCTCTTCCTCTTCCTCACCGCCTCCAGTATCTGGACCAGAACCTCCGGTATCTGGACCAGAACCTCGGGTACCTGGACCAGAACCTCCGGTACCTGGACCAGAACCTCCGGTATCTGGACCAGAACCTCCGGTATCTGGACCAGAACCTCCGGTATCTGGACCAGAACCTCCGGTATCTGGACCAGAACCTCCGGTATCTGGACCAGAACCTCCGGTATCTGGACCAGAACCTTCAACAGGGTCAGACTTCCTGCTTCTGCTCTCCTCCTGCTAACATCCAACTCTCTGTGTCTTTCAGCCATCTTCCAGATCATCCAGAGCATCCGACAGGGCATGTGATGACCTCTGACCCCAGAGCCAAGCCTGCCTTCATCACCCCGTCCTACACACACACACACACACACACACACACACACACACACACACACACACACACACACACACACACACACACAGGTGCTTCTGGCTTTGTGGGGATTAAGTTATTGGTCCCCATAAACCTGAACTCTGAAGTCTGATCTGGACACTGGGTCACCGTGAAGACGAGTCCTTACCGTGAAGACGAGTCCCCATCGTGAAGACGAGTCCCACCGTGAAGCTGTGGCCCAGATGGTGACGTGTCTCCAGACGTTTCCCCTGATCTGAGACTTGTCCTCACAGTGAAGAAGCAATCCAGTTGTAGAGACATGTCCTCAGTGTTAGGACTTGTGTCCACAGCTGTCCTGCTGATGTGTCCTCGTATCCCTGATTGTCCTCATGTTGCTGAGTTAGAGCCCAAGTCCCTACGAAGGCAGAAAGACCAGAATACACACTCACACACACATGTTCCTGTGGAGTTAGCTAATTTCTCTTCCTTCTGTTACTACAGAATATTGTTTTTTATTATTATTATTATCATTTTCTGCACTGCTGCTGGTGATGAACAGATGGAGTTACTGGTATCTGATGAAGTCTTAACTGTTTCCTTCCTGTCCAGCTGCCTGCTACTGATTTAAAGGATTCTGTTGTTTCTGAACACGGTGAAGCTTTGATTGGTCCCTCAGAGTTCAGAGTCACCGTCAGTAATAATTATTTAAAGATATTTATGAAGAGTCTGCAGTCGACCCATCCCTGAAAGCCATAACGCTGATGTTTCAGCAGAAGATTTGAAAAACAGGGCCAATTGTTTACCGCTCTCTAAGCTGTGACTATTAACACTTCCTCTGTATTTCACAATAAAACCACAGAACGCTCTATATGCTGGTATAATGTGACTCAGCCATAACACAAGCTGATTGCAGGGTGATTTGGTTTCCCTGGCTATAAGCAGGATTTCTCTTTAATGCAATGGAAACAGCATCTTTAGCTCCGCCTCCTTCTCTGATCTGGAGGAAGTGAATTTTACTGTAAAACTGATGACAACAAGCTCCCTGCTGCAGCTGTTTATGTCTCCCCTGCTGGAGGATTTCTCCACTTTTTTACAAAATAAAACTTCAGATATTTTTCTCTATACGTCTCATCTTTCATTCATTATGCTGCTTCGATCAGCAGTTGGAGTTCAGACCGGTCTGATGGCGGGTTCCGGTTGGGATCAGGGTGAAGGAGATGCTAGCTCTGTTAGCATCCTGAGGCTGGACTGTGAAAAACCTGGGACATAAAAGGTGAAAAACTTACCTTAAATGGTCCAGTTTGACCGTTCTGTTGAAAGATTCTAAAACTTCATGGTTTATCACAAAAATCTTTAATCTTATTTAAATCAGATCAT